AGTGATGCCTACTGTTTTGAGAGAGGCTAGCCAACAAGCACCTAGTACATTCAGTCTGAAAGGCCATGTGGCTTAGTGGATAGTGTTAGCTTTGCCATATCAGACATATGGGGTCGAATTTTGGCCCCACTGAAATCAATAGGAATTTTGCCATTGATTTAAAGGAGGCCAGTATTTGGATGTATTCCTAACACTTCCTGAAATGATCTGCAACTTCAGTTTAACTGATTTGTGAAATGGGAGGAGCTATGCACTGCCAGGTAAGGTTTGGGCTTAGTCACTATTAAGGGAACAAAGTCCCTGGGAAGATAAACAGCAGTCAATAGAAGTGAGACTTGAATTCATGGTCTTCTATACTTTAGCCTAGGCCCTAGGGTATTTGGTGGGGGTGCCTTCTCCTCTCTCATCACCCTGCCTGCCCTTGTGGTGAGGCTGAACAGGCAGGCTGAAAACACCAATATGCAGAATGTCCCACACAGTCTACATGAGAGGTCAGCTTTATTACTTCCATGAATCTCTAAACTAACAATTATATCAAATATCTGGCTACCTTCTCACTTTTGCTGTACCAACGCATTTTCAAAGTTCCACTTGAAGGACTTTAAATGTCCTTCAATCTGGTCATTTCATGTTTAAGAAGCCTTCACACTTCAGAAAATCTGTGGAATCTAAAAGTAGCATTAACACTACACAACACCTTTCAGTTTCAGTCTCTTTCCCAACAAACCCTGTGACTAACCGATTTGTTTGGTTTTAAAATACTGCGGTGAAAAATTGACCGGAATGATGGAGACTTTGGAATACAAGCTCTCTGAAGGCTGTGGTCCAACAGCATTTCAAATCTAGACTAAGTTTTAAACTATCCTGATAAACCGCATAATCAGAATGGAGCATGGATCATCTGTGAGCAAAACATCAAGTCCATGTGTATCTAGGGTCAATCCTTGAAGGGCAGAGGAGGTTAATTGTGACTTTCTCACTTAGAAAATTTGTAATAGCATGTTTATCGCCTCTACCAAAAAATCTGAAAACTTATGAGTAGAGGAGACTTAGCACAGGTTGCTTTATGCAGCAAGCCAGTCAGAGGGTGCATCTAGGCAGCCGTGCTATTTTGGGATACTTCCAGTATCTTGTAATAGCATTATCTGTGTCTTGACAGCGTGCCCGTTATTTCGAAATAGCGTGCCCATAATTTCAAAAGCTATTTCAAATGTCCCTTAATCCTCATGGAATGAGGCTTACAGGGACATTTCAGAATAGCATGCTATTTGGAAATTAACTTGAAATAAACTATGCAATTTGCATTGCTCAAATTGCATAGCTTATTTCAAGTTAAGGGTGCAGTGTAGATGCACCCAGAGAGATCTTGTGGACCGAGAGGCAGCTATTGACCAAAACTGACTTGAATAAATAAGGAGAGAGAGCTTGTGGACCGACAGGCAGCTATTGACCAAAACTGACTTGAATAAATAAGGAAAGGGAGTGGGATGAGTGAGGGGGAGCACCTAGAAAACAACAAACAAACACAAAGAGCTTAGTACAAAATTCTAGACTATATTTTTGCTGGCTGAAAAATGCTTGGATTCAGGTGAAAAGCTTAGTACAAAATTCTAGGCTATATTTTTGCTGGCTGAAAAATGCTTGGATTCAGGTGACCAGCGTGAAACCTAGTTTTAAAAAAAATAATTCATTAGGCATCATGGACATGCCTGCTAAAAATTGACAGTATGATAACTGAATTTCTCTAGCATCATATGAGGTCAAGGACAAAAACATATATGTTGCTTCAGGAAGAAATTATTAATAAAATGTAGAATGCAAAGAAGCAAAACACAGCACTTTTGGGCTGCACATCTGGATTTCTCATGATGAACAACTGTGACAGATGGCTGTGTCTGCACAGCTGATTTATAATTACGTCTTACTTTTCTGACAGGCTATAATCTCGGGGGCCAAATCTTTCCATGTGCTGAATATTATCTGGAGAGGTACTTATCCTCCTCCCGGATCCTGAATCCTGAATGAATAGCCAGCATTTCTGTCTTGGTCCTGACAGCTCCCACTTTGATTGATGTGATCTATTGCAAAAGCCCAGATGTGCTTTGATAGGTGTACTTCAGTCTAACAGCCCTTCCTAGGGTTGCTAAGAGACTGATGAGTAATTCGCTAACAGAGTACAGTTTGGCCAGAGGGAATGTCTCCAATCTTGAAATTGGACTCAAAACACTATAAATAAGACAGAAATATGATCTATTCTAACAAAGTACTCCTGTGACTGTAACTGTGACTGAAAGTCATGCCAGGTTGGTCTGCAACCAATGAGGCCGTGGTCTGCAAAGGATATGTTTACACAGCAATAAGACACTTACAATTGTGTACACTTTGGGGTTTGGGCTGGAGCCCAAGTTCTTGGACCTTCCCGCCCATTGGGTTCCTAGACCTTGGGCTCCAGCCCAAGCTGAAGTGGAATACTCCTGCAGCCTGAACCTTAAGCCTGATTTGGCTGTCAGGAGCCAGCTGTGGGTATCTGGTAGCTTTGTAGACAGTCTCATAAACCCCCACAAGATTTGCTATAAATGTTGCAAGGAGAGTGAGGCCAAGGACTGCAGAAATGATTGTTAGCAAGCAGGAAACATTTCCTCAAAACATTTCTACATTGTCAAAATCATTCCACACAATAGTATTTAGTGTGTGCAACCATGGTTCAATAAGAATCCATGTATATTTAGGGAAAAAAAAGACTGTTTCAAAACAGAAATGTGGTTATTGTCAGAATCCTTTCATGTCAGAGAAGTTATTTGTGTATGGGGAGCCAACAGTCAAACAGCATCACTCTGTTACCACAGGAAAGGGAGATAAGACACCAGTCTTCGTGCATCACACTTCAGCGGGCCCTGTTTTATGTGCAAAAGTCTTGTACTTCAAAGTCTTGTACTTCAAATATTAAAGACACTAACACTTTAAATGCTTCTGTTTCCCCCCCCAAGATCACATGATTTATTGTTTTAGGTTTCTATATAAATGCATAATTGTAGAATATAGAATTGTGTTTCTTTTGACATTCAGAACATTAGTGATTTGCAATATAATCTACAGGCCAGATTCCGCAGTCCCACTGATTTGCAAAGGGTTCCTGCTACTTGTCGTATGTTTTGGCTCTATTGGTGAAAAGCAGCAGCATCAGACATGCACAGCCACTCTGCAGCTTTTTTTTTTTTTAAACAAGTGCAAGACCAGCTCATGAGAACATCTTTCAACTTGCCATGTAGAGAAAGTGGTAGGAGAGCTCTGTTGTTTCTTCTGATACATTGTGGCGCTTAGTCATAGTACTACAAACACTGTCATTTCTGAACTCGGAGAGTGTGCAAATCAAATGCCCCATCTCTCTCCCTCCCGTACACTTGACATCATTCTGCCCATCTGGCTGTAACATTCTGGGAGGAGTTTTGCTCCAGGAGTGTGATCAAACTCCCTCCACTGACTCCTCATGTATTATTTTGCTGTTCCCAATATAATAGATTATAAATATCCAAATATCTAATTTAAAAAACTAAGTTTTGTTTCACATTTACTTTTTCCTGTATTACATACTTATGAGGATGTTTAAACTGGTTTTGCCTATTTTTGAATTCACCCAGACTTCATGGGTTCAACAGATGGGCTTGAATTGAAATGTGCTTGTCAGAGCTTACATCCTGCCTGTGAGTGATCAGGAGAGGAAGAGAGCAGACGGAAAGAGAGAAATCCAAAGGAGAAAATAAGGTGCGGGGGAGAGGGGCAAAGCAAAAACACAGTGACTGTGGGGAATGGGGGATGGAATAGAAAAGAAGAGACGTGTGAATGGAAAAAATAACTATAGGGAGCTATATCATCCCATTCTACCAAGAAGCTCCCATGGAAGAGCGAACAGTGAAACTGGCTGCACATCATGACCAGGCCATTGATCCTTACCATAAAAATGGATTGAGGGGTTGCAAAATGGACAAGGAAACCATAGTCTTGTGTGGACAAAAACATCTGTGTGGAGCTGTGGACATTTTGTGCAGGGCTGGGACTACCCAATCCAGCAGGTGGCACTCTTATGCATTTGTTTTAAATTGCCTCACTTTAGACATTTATGGGGTTGAAAGTGCACTGTCTGTTCCAATTTGACAGCAAATGCAGGCTTGCAACTTGTCCAGAATCTGAGACAGAGAAACGCTTTACTCTTCTTTTTTATAATATTCCAGCGGTTGGAGGTGATTTTTAAACACATGAATATGCCTCTCTAGTGTCTATAACCCAAACTTTGCAGCATTGAGGTAGGACATGAGAACCTGAAAGTGAAATTTGACTAAAAATGGCTATAAAACTTGCCAGTTTATATGGCCTAAAGTAAAGGAAAATGGGCCAGCTGCATAAATGATTTAAAAAAAAAAACACATTTTAATTTCTAGTCTGTTTTTCACAGTATGGTGCTATAAGCTTCATATTGGCAGTCCCCTACTTTCACTGTGTGTCTCAGGAATATTCCATGCAGAGCTTACTGCAGAACTGGGGCCTGAATTTTATAATCTTTGGTTATGGGGTTGAGGTCTTTATGAAGACAAACTCCTAATGTAGCAAACCCCAAGTTTCCTCTTGCACCTTTGTGTGGTAAAAACAGAAACAAAACTGTAAAAACATAACCAACTTGTTATTTATGCCACTTGTTCTACATTACTTTTTGGTTCCACATCTGTTTGCCTGGGTGAGATGCTCAAGTTCTCCTAATGTCTTTTTTTATTAAAAAGATTTTTAAAAATGCAGGAGCAAAGTGGTGTGGACACTAATTTTGCTAACAGAAATAACTTTTGAAAGGATCACAGAGCTTTGATTAGTTCACAGAGCCTCAAAGTCCATAAAGTTTGTGCATCTCCATTTAAAACAAGAACAATGAAGTGATGCTATCATAACATTACAAATGAGACAGGACAGCTTTAAGAGAGAAACAGGAAGTTGTAACTAGAATCCAGCTGAATTCTGAGCTGGAGGAGTTAGCCGTGAGGCTGCAAATAAAGCAGATGTGTTTTGTGAATTTCAGTAGTGTCTAGTCTTTCATTTACCAAAGTTGATGATATAGCATGTAACCTGTGGTGTCTTTATTTTGCATTTTGTTCTTTTTTTTAAGTACCTATACTCACATAAGAGGAATGAAATGGAGAAATTAAGAAAATATGAGAGAGAGGAGGATCATTTTTATCATCAGGGAGCTGTGGAACTGCTGGTCTTTAACTTTTTGCTCATACTTACAATATTAACAATTTGGTTATTTAAAAATCATCGATTCCGCTTTTTGCATGAAACTGGAGGAGCCATGGTTTATGGTGAGTATAAATTCAAGTGTTGGTTTAGTATTAAACTTGTTGCATGTATATAATTAGACACTTGAGCTCAAGTGCTGACAAAGCAACAGAAAATGTACTGAATGAAATGCCACAAGTCTATTGAAATGTGCAGTAAAAAGTTTAACTCTTTAACCATAGGCTGACTTATCAATGGAATAAATGTCATGAATAGGTTATTATAGCACTGTGCAGATAACATACTTCTATGTGCAGATCTGAATCTAATAACCCTTTGGGAGTACAGGAATATAGGATGCCTGTTTTATAAAGGTTGAAAGAGATTGTTTTATATTAATATAATGCATGCTTGTGTGTGATATCCCAAGATGGTGGGGCATCTATTACGGTCATGGCAGGAATCTATTACTATTTCATGGGTCCAGTCCTGTGGTCTGATACAGTTTCAACTAGCTGAAGATTTTTGTTGGGTTGTAGAAAAACAGACTTTGAAAAGTTGCTCTCTAATCTTCCCTGAAAGTTTCCATTATATTTGTACTTCAGCTTACATCTCCTCTTCTAATCTTTCTTGATGTAATTTTCCAATATTTTATTTAATTCATGCATGGGACTCTCTGTGTAGCTTGATACAATGTTAGTTTAATTATTCTATGGAGAGAATGGAGATGGGGGCCTATTCCCCCAGCCTTTTTCGTCTTGTTTCACTTTCAGAAAAGTTGTGCAATCTCCACTTTCTACTTCACATGCCCAAATGACGCTGTGAAGGCTGGAAAAAGGGATACAAATTATCATTTTATACATTGAGCATCCTGGCTACAAAGACTGACTTTCTTATTTATGTATTTTATGATGCTGCAATGAGCACTAGGAAATTTAGGTTCATATCCTAAAAAAAAAAAAATACTTGGGTTTTCTGTCAGTAGCATGTAGTATTTCCATTCAAGTCATTGACAATTATTTGCATGGAACGTGGGATAATCAGGCCCATGTAAACCATTGGAGCTTTAAATGTGAAGGTTAGTAGCTATTCCACATGAGTGGTATCTTCTAAAGCAAAAGGGTTAGAACTTATCAGAAGGTTAGGACTGAGATCTAGCAGTCTTAACATTGTCTATTTAAAGCTGTTGATTATACAAATGAAGTCTGAAAAGTCATAGGAACACAGGATTTACCCTTCTATACTGGATACTTTACCTGCTTAGGTCATTTCCTGCCTCTAGCAATGACCTGATGCTTTAGAAGAAACTAAAAAAAAATGGAAAAAAAAACCGCTCATGGTACAGTATTTTAAATAGGTGGGTGGGGAAGAGTGAGTGTTCCTTTCCTTCACACCTGTCCCTGCCTCTGTTATAAAAGATTATATTTTACTAGAAGATTTACCCAGTGTTGCTCAGGTCCTTAACTCAAATAAGTTGTGTTTTTCTTCATTTACATCATTGTTCTGGACCGGGGCTGGGAATGAGGGTTCAGTATGCAGGCTACCCCAGGGAGAAAGGACAACCGCATCCCTTTCTCATCTCAACAGCTTGGAGCCAGGTGGGAAGTGCTTGTCCTTGTCTGGGGCAGAACGCACAGCCAGAGGAGAGGTGCATATCCCAATACGGTCTCCCAAATATATAGTAGATAGCTGTCCCAGCCCTTTGAGGTCCCCTGTGATCATTCTACAGTATAACTTCCCTCCTATCAAACCCCCTCCCTTTCCATTTGATGAGAAACAATCACATTCCAGACACATCCCATTGTCCCGGTAAAACCAAGCCCTGACCTTGCTTTAAGTTATGATAAGAGGAAGCTGCATACCAAATTTGGTACTCCTAACTCTTTCCACTTAGGAGTTCTTAGATAAATGGATTCATAGATGGACGGACAGACAGACAGACAGATGCACATTTCTAAAATATATAGTAAGATAATGTAGCTCTGTAGGGCTTACTGGAAAATAATGAGAATGGGGGGAAAGGAATTTGTGACAATCAACCATATTTTATTTTATTGCTAACTTCTTAGATCTTATGCTCCATGGTACATGTGCATATTATACTGCTAGCTAATAACAGAGTGTGAAAAACAATGCTTGATAGAAGGTTACAGTTCATTACCATTGTACACAGTTTAGATATTCTCCTAAAGTAGGTTTTTATACTGTGCAACCATTTCTAATTGCAGATGATTATATACATTTGCCTGCTTAATCTAACTTTTTTTTCTAGGATTTACACACAAGACACTTTCCCCTTAACATCCTTTGCTGCTTCTGTCTGGAGTTGGGTGTACAACTGATAATATTACTTGCAAGTTAGACACAAATCAAAACCTCAGATTCATACACACCCTACTTTTGCCTAAGTTTTGCACTGGGTTGAATTTAGTGGATTGGGTTCTCCATCTCTAGTTCATTTTGTGAGTAGTTATCAAAACCAACATAAAGCAGAAAGATGGAAATGAAGGGTTTTATACTAATGCCCATTATTGTCGTTTATGAGCATTTAACTTCAGTAACATTTTTTACTCTTACAATTTGGAATATTTAGCCATTGTTTTGCACCTGGTGTATCCAGGAGTACCATTAACCGGGATATCCTTTTTATAATTAAATTCAGCTGCCAGTTTAGATCTGTTCTGAGATCTTCGTGAAGGGTCTGTTTAAAGAAATTCCAAAATAAAGGATACAAAGTCTGGTTAGTCTTCTATTATTTATGACCATTTTCAAACAAAGAGAGAGATCCATTCATTTGCTTTAGCAGCTTACACTACAGACCTTCCTGTACCCTCGGTGTGACTTCAGTATTCTTAGCAATGTGCAATAAGAGTGGTTAAAACAAGCCATCATTTCCTTCCTTCAAAATATTAAAACAGCTGTGACAATGAATGCCAGCAATTTCAGGGGAAAATTAGCAGGAGGTAGGGAAGCCAACAGACACACCAGGCCCCGGGCCAGGTGAGGGGTTGGCTCTGCATTTCTGGAAGGGCTGAAGACTTGGATGGAAGGGGAGAGACTGGGCAAGTCTAACAATAGACTAGCAGTAAAAGGGCTCTCCCTTGGTGGAATTGGAAAGCACTTTTAAGTGCTCAGCAGCAAATGCCTTGGGCCTGGCTTTTAGAAGTATTGTGAACTCACCACTCCAGTTGAGATCAGTGGTTTGAAAATGAGATTAATATTGATCACCCAGATCAGTGGTCACTTACGAAAATGATGACCTTGACAGTAGCTTTGCATTTATGCCACAGGGGAACTCAGGCAGAGGTCTGACACCATAGCTCAGTTTCCCCAGATTTATGGTGGTGTAATGCTGTTACAGTCAATGGAGTTGTATTGGTGTAAAACTGCAATAATGCAGTAGAGAATGAAGGGAAACAACTTAAATGACTTGTCTAGTGCCACATGACAGTTCAATTGTAAAGCCAGGAATTCAGATAGGAAGAGCTGTAACAGCCACTGTCCTAAGGCACTAAAATAGAATTGCTTTTTTCAGAGAACTATTTTCTGAAATTTGGACAAAAATGGTGATTAAAGCTTGATTTTTTTTGAGGTTCTGAATGTGCTGAGTACCCCCCTTCAAAGGGATTGTGGGAGCTCAGAACTTAACAGGATTAGGTCCTAGAAATGAGAATCCATGTCTTAGATAATATGACAAAGATCACAGGTTTCCCCTTTTCAATAGATGTATGAAGAAGAGAGATCTTTGAGGTATAATTTAAACTCTGGAAAAAAGTGATCACAGCAGGTTGCAATAGTAGGGTAGAACTGTTTGAGAAACAGTCAGCCAGAATGGATTTAGTAGGTGAAATATAAAAGAGAAGGAATGTTCTTAAATCGATTCAGGTCTGCTCTAAAATAATTATTTAACAGACATGAGAATTAAGTGATGGATTGAACTGCATAGCAAGATTTGAGAGTCCCCTTCATTCAGAGGTGTTCAGAAATAGCTCAATAATCCTAGTGGGAGGAATATCTTCTTTGATGTGAGTGTATGGCCTTGATGACCTCAAAGATATTTTCCAACACCATGATCTATGATTAAGGATTTGATCCTGTTTCCACTGAAGTCAGTGGCAAAATTTGGGATTGGGCTCTATTTGGGGTGCTTCAGAGAGAGGGAGGAGTAAAAACTCTTAAAGAGAAATGTTATGAACATCTGTGCCAGTTACTGAAGGGAAATGTCTCCGGCAAAGGGGATCGGGGAGGGGAAGGAATGTTTTAACTGGATTCCGACTTCTAGAATGTTAGGGATTGATTCCTACTCAGTGTGAAATGCTCTCAACCTCGTATGATGAGACCCCATGTTAATAACTAAACTCTGTGTGCTAAAACTGAAGCTGTCTTCTCCGTGATCACAATACAGCAACCTATAATAGTGCTACTGGATTTCTGATTACGCAATTGAATCTTTTCCTTACTTGTTCTCATGCAATTTGTTATTTTTAACAGCTTCACTGCTGGCCTTCCATTCTAAAATCTGGCTTTGTGCATTTGGTTTCCATTCTATTTAAACGAATGGAACGTATGAGGGGCTGCCACATGCGTCTGGTATTAAAGGTGTGTTGTGCCTAGGCTACTCAATGTGTTAAACACAGACCTGTTTTGGAAATAGTGGTTGCAAGGGATATTGAAAACATTAGTCCTACTTTTATTAGACATTTTCTGAATGCTTCTTTAGATGTGCAATAAGACATTTTATTAGACATTTTCTGAATGCTTCTTTAGAACCTATTACCTGTATAAATGTTTGAACTGTTGAGAACGATATAAATGAGAAGGTAGAAGCAGTAGAAAAGAAACTATTTGCTGAATATCCTTGGCCTATGCTTAAAAAGGGGGTAATATTTTAATTAGAATCTGGATAAGGCCTCTGAGCACAGCTATATTATAAATATTAAATATTTTATATAAAGCAAACATCTCTGTGAATTGATAATGCATACACTTTTTATGATTAAATATTGAATATTTATTTTCCTGAAGTTTTACATGTTGTATATTGTTAAAACTGAGTTGTGGTAAATGTTTTATTTCTTAAGAA